TTTTTTTTTTTTTTTTTTTTTTTTTGAAGTACACTTGGTATTGTTTATTGGATTTTAGTGGATTTGCTTTGTTTGGAATATTGTTGTGGGTAGCATTTGAGTTTTTTTTTTTCCCCTAAATTAATAAAAAAAATATTAAAAAAAATCCAAAATTTTATACTTCTTTTTAAAAAAATAATCTTTTAAAATATTCTCGAATTTAAAAAAAAATATATTAAAAAACTTTATGATTAGAAAGGTTAATATTTTGTTCGAAAGTATTATTGAATTTTCAAAAGTATTAAAAAAATAACCCATTCAACTTTCAAAAGTTTCAATAATATTATTAATTTTTATTAATAATTAAAAAATACGCGTAAATTTTTAAAAGTAATATTGATTTAAAATTGGAGTGGGAGAGGATTGACGAGATGTACATAAATTAGTCTACATATTAATGGTAATAACTTTTTTAAACTTATTTTTTAAAGGGGTTGAAGGGTGTTCGTGTTATTTTTTAAAAATTCGTATACGTTTTTTTTTTAAATATGGCACTATTGGTGTAACATTGACTTAAGTTCACTGCCAACAGATATTATTTACTTTAACTCATGTACCGCCATCAGCCTTACAGTTATAGAATGTGTTTGCTAATGAGAGATTTCCACACCCTTTGACCTGTTATGTGTCGTCATCAGTTTCACGATTTTAAAACACATTTGCTAGAGAGAGGTTTCAACACTCTTATAAGAAATGTTTCGTTTCTCTCTTCCACCAAGATCTACAAACGATGATATCATTTTTAACTTTTTAAAAAGATTGAAAAGTGTTAATTATTTTTTTTTAATTAAATGGTACATTTAAAACAAAATTTAGAGATATTTTTATTAATTTAGCGTCTTTTATGTTAAATTCGAACCTCTAATAACGTGATCAAATATTACTCGAACTAGCTACACTGTATTAAATTTTATATTAATTAATAGTTTATAGTTCAATAAATAGGTAATTATAGCAAAGATGTTGAACTAAATTACACGTAATTATAAAAAAAAAAGATTTAATTCATATAATTTCTTAAATTTTAAATAAGTAAAAATAAATGTATTACGCTTAAATTAACATTTTCAACTAAATAAAATGGTGGGAAAAATAATGAGTATGATTTAGTTGCTAATAAAGGTGGTTCTGATACCATTTGTAATCATTTAAACCTACCGTTAATAGTTATTGTCTAACTTTTATTTTAACGGCGTGGAAACTTTTTTTTAACAGACGCGTTTTAAAGTTTTGAGGGGAAGCCCAAAGAAAACAATATTTACTCGCGGTAGACCTGGGTCGTTACAAATGGTATTAGAGTTAGACACTAGACGATGTGTCAGCCTTCTCACTGTTCTTCGAGGGGGTAGACACGAGACAGTGTGCCAGTAAAGACGCTGGGCCCAAAAAAGGTGGATTTGAGGGGGTCCCATATTGATTGGTGAAAAGAACGAATGCAAACGAGAACGTTAGGCCCCGAAGGGAGTGGATTGTGATGTCCCACATTGGTTGTGAGGAGAACAAAACACCATTTATAAGGGTGTGGAGACCTTTCCCTAGTATACGCGTTTTAAAACTTTGAGGGAAGTTCAAAAAAGACAATATCTATTAGCTGTCGTTACAGTTGATTTAATATATGGATAAAATTTATAATTTAATATCAATTTTTTTTTTGTTGTTGTAATAAATAGTTAAAATTAATTTTTGAGGAAATGAAAAAAAAAAAAAAAAACCGGTTAAGATCATTGCATCAAAATTTGTGTGGATGAGGAGGATGGGACCCACGTGAACTGCAACGGCCATGATTTTGACACATAAGCGGGTCCCACACAACAAAAGCATTCCCCCACACCCGATGAATGGATGCTGATTGTAAATGCCAAATGCGGCGTATAACGCTTTGGACTTATTAACCACTTGTCGGCTGTCGTTTTGTAGTAAATAAATCTGTTGTCCCTTGTCGTTTTATCTCATTAATATCATATCATATCATCCCTAAACTAGGTAGTAGACATGCCCCATCAAATTATAATATTTAAATTAGGTTAAATAAATTATAAAGCGTGAAATTATCGACACTAAATTAAGTTAATTTTATTGTCCTACTACTTCTTTCGTCGATCGCTCATCATCAAAGGAACGTAAGATCTCAAAACATGACGACCAACACACGTTCGACTTTTGTTAAATACCCGACTTAGTAATTTATCATAATATTTTCTGTAAAAGTCCAAGTTTACCGCTAGCATGTATGGTTCATTTTGACCCATTACAAAGAATAATTAGTTTCCCTCTCAAACCAAGGGCTCCATCGTCTTCATTGGCACATCATTCGATATTCGACTCGTATACCTCTTGTAATAGTCTAAGCCCATCGCTAGTAGATATTGTCTGATTTTGCTCATTATATACGTGGTCAGTTTCACGGTTTTAAAACCGTATACTAGGGAGAGATTTTCACACTGTTATAAGGAATGTTTCGTTTTCATCTTCTCTCGAAACCTATACGAGATCTCACATTTTCTTATATCCACGATGTTTTTAACCATCACGACCCCACCTCAATCGACATCTTATAGGTCGTAGTCATATTTCTACGAATGCACATACAAATTTTATATCATAATGGATTGGGTCTTATCCATTTATCGATATAATTTGTAAAGTGGATTTGAGAACGTATAATGGGAAGATGGTGACATTGTTATTCTATAGGCAGAATTCAATTGATTTAAACTTCACACGTGCCTGTCTTTATTTGTCCTTTTTTTATTCACTTTGCTATGCTTTTTTAAGTTATATATTTTTATGTTCATTGCCTTCCAATAAAAGGCTTTACTTATATATATATATATATATATATATATATATATATATATATATAATTATAAATGTTTTTATTTGCAAATAATAAAAATAGAAAATAAATAAAATTATTTTGAGATTATAATATAAACTTGTCATTATCTTTTAAGTATGTTCCATGTTTTGAATTTTTAAATTTAAAATCTAAAAAATACTAAAAATATATATAACAAAATTGCTTTGGGTATTTCAATTATTTAAATTAAAATATTAAAAAACATTTTAAAAATTAATTATACTAGGTTAAATTTATTTTGCTTTTAAAAAGAAAAACAAAAAATGGAAAATGACCGGCGGAGAATGGTGGAGGCATCCGGTCCGATGCTTTCAGATGGGACCTTTCAAGTGGCAATAGAAATAAACCGGCTCTTCCTTTTAACGGGAGAAACTTCTACGGACACAGTCACGGTTCAACTCGTCGTTCCGTTGTCCACTCATAATGCTCCACGTTAGCCCCCGTCATCCACCCTTAACCGTCTACGTGTCACATGTTCAATGGACCTTCGTCGTTTCTTTCCAACTCACCTCTGTCACCCATAATATGAATCTTAAAAACATTTTTACTCTAAAATAATAAACTATTTTATTTAATTAATTACCTAGTAATAAAATAAGTTAATTAAAATTATTAGAAAGGTTGGTTGAAACTAAACATAAATAAATTATATATATGTAAAAGATATTTGGCTCGTTACATATTGATGTCAGTCTTATTATTTTAAAACGTGAAAACATAATCCACTTTTTTGGGGGCCAGTGTTCTCGTTGACATACCGCCCGATGTTTGACTCTGATACCATTTGTAACCGTTCAAACCCACTGCTAATACATATTGTCCTATTTGATATGTTACATATCGTTGTCAGTCTTATGATTTTAAAAACGTCTAGAGAGAGGTTTTCATATACTTAATGGTTTGTTTCACTCTCCAACTAACCTAGGATACGTGGATGACATTGTATTCTCCACCCTTTTATTTTAATATATGTTAAAATGAAATTTCAACCTTATCTGTTTATAACGTATCTTAAATTCAACTCCACCGGATTCGTGCTTATTGCAAATCAATTCAAAGGTTCGAGCTGTGGCAGTGCAACAGCAGCTCGAGTTGAATTAATTTGATAAAATATTCTTCCATTCACGCGCCCGCGGAATTTCGCTGACGCTGAGTTTTGAGATTGCCTGAGAACCTTTGAAGCTCGAAACAATGGCGTTTTCTTCTTGGTTTTCTCGCTTCC